AACACAGAAATGGCTAAAGATGAAATGGCTAAAAATGCTATGAGATGAGCTATTTGTTATGTTGCAGAGAGGACTGAAGATAAATGACAAAAGCAAAGTAATTTCTGACTTAGCCATTAAGGCAGAAAAATTGCCTTCTGCATTTCCAGAGGAGCTTTTGTCATGCTAGAGAACAGCAGTAAAACATTAAGCCATGCAGAAGCCAACGACATAAGATGCAGAGAAGATGACCATGAATTTCAAGAAAAAGCCGATCTCATGAAGGACACACACTAACAGCCATACAAACTTCTGACTCCCAAAAGTTTTAACTGTAACATATGGACTTTCACACAGAGTAGATCATGTAAACCAGAAGGGTTGGTACCTTCTAGTCGGTGTCTCCTCCTACTAGAAGGAACAAAATGCCCTCGCTCTTGGCCAGCACCTCCCACTTCTCAGACAGGCTTCAGCCTGCACGGACTGTGACTATGCTGAGGGTGCAGGAAGAGTTATGGTGGCAGGGGATGACTTTCCAGAATTTCCAGAGTTCTCTCGTGGGTTGGAAATAGCACAGGTCTCCCTGTCCAATGCTGTTTCAGTGTACCTATAGAGCCAGAGAGCTTTTGGCAATTACTCCTTTCTCTGCTGCAGCAGACAGCCTCACTGACAGGTGCAACAGCCAAAGTAAAAAGGGTCTCATATGTTCAGTCACACATTATTTCTAAAACCTGTTGTAAGGTCCCTAGGTACTGTTGCCTCTGGTCCAAACTCTGCAGTAGTTTGAGGTATATTCTATCTGTAAGGCTTATATTTAACTTATAGAGTAGCTCCTCATTTTTTACTAAAGTAAGCTATATGTGGAGAGACAGAGACTATATCTGTATACAGAATGCTTATATATAAATATATACACAGTATATATATATGATTTCTAAGCTTCTCATTCTAGCAATTGTATCTATTGTATCTTTTCATGTTACTACACAGAATAAATAGGCAGACATAGAAGGAATGAACACTGACTATAATTGTCTGCAGTATCACATGGTCTGGGGCTGAAACAATTCAAACTGGTAGACAAACTACAGCTGCAATTCTTGCTGTTATTTTTAACTCATTCTCCCACTCAGGCTGTCTTGTCACCTCTCTCCATCTCTGAGAAACACACTCAGAGTGAAAACTGCAGTCTGATAGTGTTATCAGCACCTTTGTCAACAAAATAAATTCATCTCCCTTGGATGGTGAAATGTGTGTCACAAATGAATGAGATTTTTGGGTTCAGCAGCAATCTACAGGGAAGTGTTAATTAGACCAGACTGTGTCATAAGGAAGCTCAACAGACAAACTAATTAGCACCAACAAGTGTAGCAGGGCTGCTCTGCGGAGGCAGCACTCCATCACCAGCTTCTAAGAAGTTAGCACTCCTTCCTATTCCCTGGCTTTAGTCTCAAAATGGCATCAAAACATATGGCATCCGAGCAAGAGTCCCATAAGGATATAGCAGGAAGATCTGCTTTTGCTCTGTCCCCGTTACCTTCATCAACTCTTTCTCACCACAACATTCAACTCAAAATCAAAGATCTCCAAGATTTCATCCAGGTAGGAGAGGGTGGGTCCTCAGAAAGGTACGTACCCCTCATGAGTCTGAGCATGACTGGCAGCCTATAAATGCTACCACTGTCCTTGGGGAAACTAAGAACACCGGGTGTAGACTGCTTCAGTGCAGAACAGCTTCAGTGCAGAAGAGCAAGGGGTTCTAAAAGTCCAGCAGGAATCTGGGAAAAAAAGAACTAGAAAGAGCCATTCAGCAGGTCAGCTTACGAACTTACAGCTTAAATATTGCTGACTAGCTGACATTAGTCAAGAAAAAAAATGCTTCCTAAATAACACATCAGATGTTCTTCGGATGAGTCTCTGTTTTTTTCCCAGACGCAACCTAGCAGATGGACTTATGCTCAAGTAATTCTGTGAGCTGATAAATGAGGCTGGAGATGCTAAAAAAATAAGATAAAAAATAGAAAGTAGTATGAAGCGTCATACACAAAGCTTGTTTCTCACATTCCTGTGCTCAGTAATTTCCTCGTTTTCAAGGGAAAATATTTCAGACAGAATATAGGTTATACATAATTCTAGTAACCAATGGGTCAGAATACAAAAATCCTGGGTTTCCCCAGGTTTGTAGCTATAAAATTAAAAGTAATATTGCAAGCAGAAGAACCCATACCCACAAACACCCAGCTTGCAGCCTTGATGTGTCAGATGTGCCCTGGGCAGCTGCTGCAAATGATCCATTTATCAACAGTCCATCAGAAATGACACAGAGGGTGTAGAATACGCAGTTTTGGTTATACCCACACAGTGATAAACAACTGCTCCTGGCCCCTGTAACTAGGACACTTTATTTGTTAAATCTTTTCTTTGTAACACTACAAGTCCACCTGTTCATATTTTCCTCTGCCGGCTCTTTCTTGATTCAAGTACACAATTCCCTTAATAAACACAACAGTGCTAGAACTCTTTGGTATCTTGTTCTCTCACCTCTTTGGTCAAGAACTTACCTCACCAGACTGTGAGAAACTTTCTTCTCCACTCCAGTCTAAGCGTGTTTGACAGGCATGAAAGAATATAGTGTAAGAACTGCTTCCCAAAAAATCAAAAGTCAAAGCATAGGGCCAGACAAAGCTAATTGGACCTGTGGATGTGCAGCACATGCTATGAACAAACCATTTCAGCATGCTTTTAGACGTGTTTGAGCATTTTAACAACAAGCACCTTTTGGTGCAAATTGGATTAGAAGGTTTTACAACATTAATGCTGTGACCAGTCCCTACTGGCCCATAAAAATTTCTAAAAGCATCTGCTCTCAAAACTGAATTTCAGATATCAAAGAAAGCAGGATTAGAACAGCAGGGAAAAAAAGTATTCTTGCCAGCGCTCCTCATTTTGGCTCTGCAGGCAGAAAAAAAAAAAAAAAAGAGAGAGAGAGAAAAGAGAGAAAGTCAAGGGTGTTAAATCCAGCAATTTAGAAAACCATTCTGTCTGAACCAAACACTTAGCAAGAGGATAGTCTATCTCTTGCTGTCATCAGGGGAGACAAGACCTTTTGGTCTGATGGCTGAGGGCATCATCCTTACATATGACCAACTGGGTGAAGAAGAAGTTAACAGGCCAAATACTTTCATTACCGCATTTAGGCAGCACAACAATATATGATCACAGCAATTATGAAGAAATAATATACATGTACACCCTCTTTAGGATCTGCTCTCTTTCCTTTTACTACTAGAGAACTGGGACCAATATTATCCATTCACAGGAACACTATGTTACCTGCTGCTACGGGAAGGAGCTGATCAGCTATCCATTGTGTTCTGAAGCAGATGGTGTGTAAATACCAAACCCCTTATGACACTCAGTATTTCAGAGATCCCATTTCTTTTTCATAGCAGAGTTTAAATTAAACTGCAAATGCTGTAAAACACACAGGGACAGATTCTTTCTTCTCACAATCCATTGCAATAAGAACAAACTTCAGTCAGGTGAACACAAATAGAGGTCTAAAGCAAGTATCGGAAGAGAATCAGTGTTCTTCAAAGCCATACATGTTACAGAAGGAGTCAAGATTACTTATATCAGGAGGTCATAACTGCACTAATTACACAAGATTTGTGCAGACTGGAGTTTGTGCAATGGGCACACATAAAAAACACCTTTCCCCTGCTCTCCACTGTTTTCACCCATGGAAAAGCTGAGGGACAGAACTGTACTAAGCAGGCATTGATTGTTAAGAACTTGGAGAATCTGGGAGGGATTATGTTAAATAAACCAAAGAAGTCATGCAATTTAACATGCTTTGCATAACTAAGCAACTAAACATCTACAGCATACCTCAACACAGCTCCAACCACTTCATGCACCTGCCTTTGAGGCCAGCTGAAGCCTTGTGGACAGCAGTTTGAAAGACATTACATTAAGACATCTTTGCTTACAGATTATTTTCTTATTGTTATTTAGGCATTTACATGAACTATGACAACGTATATTGCTTTCTCCTCTTTCTGCTAATTCATCACCATCCATCAGGGAAAGGATAAAAATCTGGTTGTGTATGTTCCATTACTCCACTATTTTTCACCGTTACACTAGGGACAGGTTTGAAAAAGACCTGAGACAGAGAGTAAAACACAAAGCCTTGTGGACAAGCAAAGAAGCTGTTGGGTTCTTAAAAATGAAACCCCTTCTCTGAGACTATTCACCAGACTGCTGCCTATGAGAAAAAGAATTCTAAAAACTCTCTTTTCATTATTATTCTTATTTCACTTTCTCACGCGAGAAATGGGTAAGGGAAACACTGTTACTTTTGTTTCTAGTTCATTTTAATTCTGAACTCAGAGGAGAGCACAAGTGAGATGCAGGCTTGCGATCCATTTTGTTGCTTTGCCTGTGCTAACACAGAGACATTCAAGCTTTAGTTACAAGCATCACTGCAAGACTCACATCACATCTGAATGAAGAAGAAAAAATATATAAAATATTTGTTTCTTCTACCTCTCCTCTAAGCACACAGTCCATTCTAAAAATGGTTTTCCTTTCCCCTTGAGCACTAAAAAGAGTAATCCTATGCATCATCAATTGCACACCCATGAGGGGAATGCACCTAGTGCAAATTTGCTAATACCTGACAAAAAGCTGTGTGCAGCATAAGGGAATCCAAATCCCTAACACATCTGGTGCCATTTAATGTGACACTGGTGTAACTACGCTGAAGTGTCTAGGTTTAAAGCATGTACTGATTTGCTCCTTTGGTTTTGGAAAGAGTAGGCCATCTCTGGTATAATCCTACCAACTTGCTTCGTCAGAAAGCAGGTCATAGAAGGTCCTTCTGAGTTGACCCAACATGATCTCAGTTGCTGATTATGAAATGAAAAGTGATTATGAAGTACACTAATTATCAAACTTCTGGGTCAGAATGGTGGCTTTTTCAGTAAAAAAATTATTTAAAGTATCTTTTGAACTTACTGTGTAACACCGCTGCTATGGTTCCCTGCAGCCACACGGATAATTGGGAGATCTCTGATTTGCTCTTTTCATCAAACACACTGGGAAGAAGAGCAGAATAAAGGATCAACTTTTTCTGATTGCTTCAGACAAACCAGGCAAGTCCCCCCAGAATATTTTATTTTAGTAATTTGTTTATGGTGTGGCAACTTAAAAGGGCCTTGGCGCACCATACATGATTATATTGGAAGAACTGAGTTCATGCCTCTGTACTACAAATCAGATGGTCCACATGGTAAAGCCATTCATGACCCAAAAGCTATGACCCTATGGTTTCTATATGGTAAAGGCAGCAAACACCAGTTCTGTTTTTTCTCAGTACTCCAGGCTGCGCACCATTCCAAAGTGTAGACAGTACTTCAAGATCTATGAAGTACTTACATTCCTTATATTCCTTTCCACAACATATACATATATACAACATAATGTATTATATAGGGATATATAGTACCCTTCCATGATATCCTCTGACAGACGAGCAGGACAGTGCAACTCCATCTGGTACTATTCACAAATTACAGCCTGCACATTACAGAAAATCCTGCTCAGCTTATATATCTGAAATGCAAAGCTTCAACAAAATACTTATCAAGTTATTAATTATAACATGTAATTACTTATGATATGGAGGTATCCAAGGTCCCAAGTCCCAGACAGGGCATACTTCATGTAAGTCCTATAAAGCCTGATTCAAAATCACAGGGACCTTCACACACAAAACCCAGTATGTGCTTCCCTAGCACCTGGAGACAGCCATTTCCTGCTATGAATTCTACTGTAGAACTTGCACTTTAAATGTAAAGCCCCCTGGTGCTAGGAGTAATGATTTGGATTAGCACTGCGATTCTCCCACTGCTAGGGAAATAAAAATCTCTTAGTACCACTATCAGAGATTTCTGTGGCAACTCAGTGAATAATGGTAAAAGCAGCTGCAAAATAGCAAGTGAACAAAGACTACGGAGATATAATGGTGACTCAACAACCTTTCAATTCAGCTATTAAAGTGTCTACAGTTCCTTTTATGCTGCAGGTGAATAAAAAGTGATTGAGCAGAATTAACCTCTCCCTAGAGCATTAAGAAAAGTTAAAGTTTCAGTGCCAACTTGCTGGGTTCTTTCAAATCTGAGTTTCTTACAACTTTTACTGCTGTAACACCAATGAACTGAACGTCCAATGAACTGAATTTCAGTAGAGTTGAGTTTTGGAGGACTGAGTTAAAACCATTATGTGAATTAAAAGTGTATATATTGAGATGAAAAGCTTCCAGTTGAAATATATAAGCCTTCAGGAAATATTGATACTGAACTGCAAACTCTCTTCGTCTCTCCCAAGAACCTATCCAGTGCTAAGCATGAGAGGTACTGACCCTGCCTATGGAGCTTTGATTGACTGCATGAAAATTTGTTTAAATTCCTCATGGGGACCACAGATATTCAAGCATGTGCACGGGCATTCTGTGGGTTTAGAACTAATTTAAACATCAATTTAGGAACCCCATGTGAAGAACAGTCTCCACAGCTCTGGCTTGGAAATCTAAGCCCTGACTGATATATGTGTATACAGCACTTGGGTTGCTTTGTGATCTAAACAGAGAAATTTTCTTCACCTTGAGACAAATACTGAAACTACTCATAGCAAGGGTTTCATGAAGCTTTTGCTGAATGAAAGACAAAGGAAAACAAATTGATGGGTAAAATGATTAATTTGGAAAAGTCAAAGCTGTTTGGGGGAAAAACAGAAACCACATCACAGGTTTTTAAAGTTTACAAGGAAAATACAGACTGTACATTCCCAAAATGTTTGGATAGGTTTCTCTTCTCCTTCCCACAACCACAGATTCTCCTTAACATCTTCGTGGTTTTGTTTCAGACTAGAACACCAGAGGTGTCATATGAGACTTATTTCAGGTGCACGAGCTCTGAAATTTGACTGCAAGTGAATTTTGGATGGCAGTTTATCCAACCCAAATCTTACCTACCCAATACTTACCACCAAAGAGAGCAGGCAATAAAAAAGTAAGAAAGCATAACATTTCCCCTTCAGGAAACAGAAAAATAGAAAAACAAATACATTCTAGGACACATGCAGAAACCTTACCATAACTGAGGATAACACTGGGACATGTGAGATTTTCATTACTATATACTGCCAGCTCCAAGGACAAGTTTACTAAGGGAAGGTGATTAGTAGATATGTCTATTTGTGGAAGAACAGGAAACCCAGTTAGTTCAAGCCATTAGTTTTGCTGCCCTCTGCAAAATTCTTTCACTCTGGGCAATCACTAACTGCATGAAGTTTAACATGAGCAAGTGCTGAATTCTGCATCTGGGATGGAGCAACCTGTGTAGGGCTTCATAGTTTGATGATCCTTGTGATGGATTCCAACTCAGGATATTCTATGACTTGAGTGAAAATTCAGTTTATCTCTTCCAGTCCTTGTATGTGGTACAGAGTTAAAGAGAAAATTCAACTGTTCTTCATCCACCTCGCTCTAGGATATCCCAGTATCAGTCAGTGCAGGGAATCTGGGAAGGTAGAGCTTTAAAATATAGACTAAGAGCTCCCAAAATTCAAGAGCAGCTCCTTTCTCCATGCAACCAGAATTATCAGTCTTGCTATGCCTTTTCATCTGTTTAGTTGTTCGCTACAAGACCTATTTTATTTTTTGTCTTCCTTAGGTTTGTTGGAATTTATCCATATGTGCATCTGTGCCAGCAGCCAAATTTCTAGACATGCAATTTCTCAAAATGACTTCAAGCCTCCATGTGAAGAGCTATAATATTAAGGGAATTCAATATAAGGCTGCTTTGTCCCAGTAAGAGTGTAGAATGCTCAAACCTTCATTGTTCTCTTTCATTTTTGTGCCCAAGAAGAATTTTGAATGTAAAGACTTCAAATCATAATTGAGTGAATCCATATCCAAAATCTGGCCTGTATCAGGCAAGAAGGAAAATCCTTCACAGATGTACCCCCATGCACAGCCATTCAGGATCCATACAAGAAGGAGAAATCTTTGAGGTGCACAGGCTAGATGAATTAAGAACAGTGTCTGTCACAGTCCATTTTCTAGAAACACAGCTGTAATATTAAATCTACAACAGTTTTTACTTTCAAAAAGCATTATGGCAGAGAAACGATTGGACTATAAGGGAGTTTTGAATAGCTCTATGTCCCTATTTGTCATCTGAGTTATAAAAATTATAAAGCACTCTTTCACTTTTTATGAAGCAACAGCAACACTCAAGATTTTTACGTACAATACACCAGAAATCATGCGTTAAGTGGCTGAAGACATTTGGCTTTTTGCCCCTCATAACCACTGTCAACATGCGGGCATCTAAATGTGATTGTACAACTTGTCCTGCATTATTACACGTCATGGCTTATCAACCAGGATACTTAGTGGCATTTATGAACATATTTAATGCTGAAACAAGCAAAACAAGAGTAAGCCATCTGTTCTCATGTTTTACTTCAGGTTTGAGCCAGGACAGCTCATTGAAGGCAGGTGTTGCATTGCCTTTAGGTTTCTGCTGATCAAATTTGCCACATGGACATGGAGTTCAGTCAGCATCACCGTAAGAAAAGCAGCAGCCACTGCTTCCTGCAGGTTCTCAAGGTGGAGTGCATTCTGGTTCTCCTGCCAGACAGTTTATCAAACTGCTGCTGAATAAATATTTTTGGCTCTCCAGGTTACCTGCAGGTCTTGGAAGAGAAAAATCCCTTTTTATAAAGCCTACACTGTTGATCCTCAAGGAACTGCCTGGCTGCAGATAAAGTGTAACTGAATTACATACCTGGACTTTGGCTCCTGGACGTGGCCTCAGAACTGAGTCCATACCAGACCGTGTCTTGAAGGGGAGAGTTTCACCCTGAAACTCATTCTCCCCTTCCTTGAGTGAATTATCCCCTTGAATGAGGATGAGGATCCTCTTGATCATCCTCTAGAAATGCAGCACTTATAGTTCCTGGGATACAGCACAGATCCACTACCAAATCAGAAGAATGCAAACCCCTGATATCTGTCCAGAACCCATAATATACCTGTGCTTCAGAGTACTTCTGAGTCTCTGCTCTTACTGAGAAGAACATCACCAAATGTAGAGTCTGACAGAAGATTCTGGAAAACAAAGAAGAAAAGATTATGGAAAACTAAAATCCCCTCTAAGAATTAATATATGACTTGAGGTTGGTGGATATAGGGGTGAGATCAGCTGAAGTGGGGGAGGGTTAAAAAAACTGTCAGGTCAATTACCAGATAATGGCCACTTCCAAACTTCTTATCTCAATTACTAACAATTTGGCCACAAGCAGTAAAAAGAAACTTTATTAAAGTAATTTAATTTTTTTCAGGAAGGTTTCAAAAACTAACATTAAAAGATGGACTCACTGTAAAAAGTGGTTATAAACAGTTGCAGCAGCAGGAGGACTATTTTCCCAACAAAACTGTATCATTCCTTCATTGCTTCAAGGCACCTTACCTACAAAAATTGTTTGGTGAAAAATCCATTTTTTCCTGGAATAAGTATATGAGTGGGTAGAGGCAGAGTCAGTACCTTAACCAGCAGAGCTCAGCAATGTTCCTGTGGCCTGCAAGTACTAGGGTTTGTGATCAGAGAGAGTATCTCACATAAGACCAAACAGTAGGGCTGGGAAAAGCAAAGAGGCTTTTAGGCACCCAAGTCGTAATTAGGTGCTGATTGTTTGAAAGCATCTTTGACTATTCCAGCTGTATTTGCTGGTTTAATGCAATACATTACCTCTACAAACCTTGGATTAACTACGTCCTTAGACTGTCCCAATTTTGATAATACACCATGCCAAATTACCAATGAACAAAACAAGTCATGTTCAAAAACTGGATAGCAGTTACAGGTTCAGCATGCTCCTAAATTTAAAACTTGTTAAACTGATTTTCTTCCTTGTCAGAGTATATTCTATAGTGGGTCATAAAGTCCCAGGGACATGAAGTTTAATATTATGACTGATTTTCTGGTTTCATCAGAGGGACTGATATGAATAAACAAACAGTTTTTTCTTA